GGGAAGCCTGCTTCTCCCTCTCCCACTCCCCCTGCTTGTGTTCCCTCTCTCAAATAAATAAATAAAATCTTTAAAAAAATATATAAATCTTTATAACTGACATCAAAACTCAAGGAAATATTCACATGCCTCTCTAGCGGGGCAGTCATTTCTCTGAGTGGGATAAGACTGTTTAAAACCATGCTGCTTAGTTTCCTAGGATTATGACCTCTAGTCCATTCTCCTTATTCTTCAGACCCAAATCATAGATACAGACAAAGGCAGAACTGTAAAGTTATTTGAATTATGCCCGGCATTTTTACAGTATTTGTACTGTCACAGTGGCCTTGATCATTTATGACACTTTGTTGGATGAGGGAGCTATTTCTAGACTTAAACCACACTTCAGTGATTCTGTGATGGGCCCAAACCACTTCTTTCTCACCATCTTCCCAAAGGGAGGGGGTTGTGGAGACACGTGAGTCCTGTGACATAAACTGGTTAGAATGGTCGTCCATGGGAAGCAGCAACGAGCAAAGGTATTCAGAAGGGGCTGTCCTTGGCTCTTGTTGCCAGAGATAGTCACTGGAACTGAAGTTTTCCCAACAGTAATAATGAGCGCATTGGCCTTGATGAATACTGGGTTTTTTTTCCTTCACTAAAATTCTTTGATTCCAGAAGGGGCACAAAATGGCACTTTTTCTGGCACCATGAAAACTGGCATTCCTGTCTGGGAAAGGGAGCTTCTGTGTTGTACACACAACTGTAGGAAGCACAAGTATTGCCGTGAGCCATTCTGGCCTGGGAGGGCCGGCTGCTGCATTGTCTGGCCTCTCCTCTGCCCTGTTGCATTCTCACTCCACGTGCTTCTGAACGCCACCTCAGAGCAGAAGGAGAAGGCCCTGGGGACCTGGGTGCCACCAGGGAGGAGGTTCATCTCAGGCACATACTCATTAGCCACCTGCCTCTGGAAACGGTGATTCCCATTCTTTTCTCAGTATTACTGAACTACGCGCTCACAGAAGTCACACATGGGGTCACTGGGATGAGAAGTGTTCTCGCTGCTTTGAGCAGAGGATCTTATTTTACAAACGGGGTTTTCCCCTCTTTCCGTGGTTGGGGGACAAGACAAGAGTAGAAAGGCCAGGATATTTCCAGCACTGGGCAGCCCCAAAGGGGGCCTGCATGAAACCGGGAGGCGGGGGGCAGGGTGTTCGAGACCCCAAGTCCCTGTTGGCGCCCAGGGCTGTTCTAACATTCCAACCCTCGTGTTTTTAATTCTGGCCCTTGAGGGATTTGCTCGTTTTACATACTGATTAGTTTATTGCAGCAGTGCTAATTTGTACTGACATTAGGGATTACACACTGAGGATTATTAAATATAGAGGGAACAACATGGCAGAAGGAAGCGGGAGCATGACTCGGAGAAGTGAACGTCTGAACGACGGAAACCCGCCCCTGCTTCATCACTGAGCCGCAGTGTGTCCTGGGGCCGCCACTCGGCCATCTGTGGACGGCTTCCTGCACCCGGAGTCAAAGTGTGCGAGACAGAGAGAGGAGTTTTGGTTAATCACAGGGGCTTCTCTTATGGATTAAGTAATGAATGTGATTAACAATAATATGGAGAATTCCCAGTTCCCCACCTGTAGCTCCTCTGTAGCTAATTTTCAATTCTATGTTGGTTTCCTTCAATAACTCCCAACCCGACCCAGATGGTATCTATTTAGGAAATTCAGGAAACTCTTAATATTTGCATAAGCAGAGCAAATTGGGAAATAAATTAGTGCAAAGAAATGATCCAGTGCAACAGAAAGCTGAATGCAAATGACTTCTGGATTTTCTAGGCCACGGACTCATTAAAGCACTCAACAAATATTTGCTAAGCCCCTACTCAGTGCGGAGCTCAGTCTCTCCTTTTCTCTAGGCTCTCAGTCTGGAGGGAGTGGTTGTGTGACAGGCTGAGACTCCGGAGCCCAGAGGGGGAAGCATGTCCCATTCCCACGGACGGCAATAAGCTGATGATGGTTTTGTTCCAGAGACTTCCTCTTCTGATACGTGTGAAGATCCTCAGAGACATTTCCTCTTTAATCTTCATTACCGTGGATAGGACAGCGTGTCCACTGGACATGCCCACAGAGCTCATGTTCCCGATGCAAACACGGAGACACGAGGGACGGCAAATAGCGAGCCCCCTGAGGTCAGAGGGGCTCTGCCTCCTCCCTCATACTTAGTGCGAGGGTGGGGCCCGCACACAGTAGGTGCGCAGTGCTCATTTGTCGAAAAAGTTGATGATGACCCCCATAATCAGCCATACAGGGAAGGCATCAGCATCCTCATCACCATCCTCATTTTTAAAAACGAGGAATGTTAGATTCAGAGAGCTTTGATAAATCCAAGGACATGTGGCTAGAAAAAGGCAGGACTAAGGCTCAAACCATGGTCACCTCCCTCCCCGAGCTGAGCCCTCCCTGTCATTCTCCACCCGACCTGCTCAATCGCAAGCAAGGGGCCTTAATCTGTGGCTGTGGGTGGCACGGGACTAGAAGCCAGGAGAAAACAGAAGTTTATAATCTGGCTGAGAGCCTGAATGGCAGAGGGTGTCCAGGAAAGGGCGGGGAAGTGGGGATCAGCAGGATGCATCCCTGACCCCTCAACTCTGCCGCTGGTTCTCTTGGTGACCGGGAGCAAGTCACTGAATCTCCCCGCCACTGCTTCCTCAGTGACAAAACTCATAATAATACGTTCCTCTTAGGTTTGCAATGAGAAGTGAGCGTGCTAAAAACGATCGTGTCTGGTGCACAGAAGATTCTCCATTCGTACTAGTTTATTATCATCAGCTTAAGCATTTTTATAACTACTACTGGGATTTGCCTTTACGCACCTGAATCAGAGAGTAACAGGTCTTAAAATAAATTTCTAAATTGCACGGTCTGTTACAATAAGTAAGTGGTTTTCGAGATTATTCAGAGAATTTGAATCTGTGTCAGACCCAGGAATACGAGCAAGCTTCCCTTTTCTGTAGCGGCTATTTTCCAACTTAGAGGAGATGAGGTGACATATTTTCTACCATTGTTTCTAAAAATAGTAGGGCTGCTTCATTGCAGCGCTTGGTTGGCTTGCTCATTTGTAAATGCCGTGTTAAGATTCAGGAAGTGGGAGACTCACTCCCACCTTGGAACTCCTATAATAATTGGTTTGAGCGTTTGTCCATTGCCTTGTATTATCCTTGTTGTGTGCTTGTCTCCCCGTTCTGTGCAGGAACCGAATCTTGTATACTGCTGGGTCCCTAGCACCAGGCAGGATGCATGGCACATAGTAGTTAGGCTTAAGAGTGTTTTCTTTTTCTAAATGAATGAATGAAATGGGGTAGGAGTGCAAGGAGATGAACAGAGCACAAACACATGTTCGGATTAGTTACTTGTTTTCTTTCTTCCTTCCTTTCTCTCTCTCTCTCTTTCCTTTCTGAATATAGCTGACACACAATGTTACATTAATTTCAGGTGTACAACTTAGTGATTTGACAAGTTGATACATTATGCTGTGCTCACCACAGTGTAGCTCCCATCTGTCCTGTTACACGGATATCATTGACTATGTTCTTTATGCTGTGCTTTTTATTCCATGACTTACTTATTCCATAACTGGAGGCCTGTTCCTCCCTCTCTGCTTCACCCATTTTGCCCAACACTCCATCCCTTCCCCTCTGGCAACCATCAGTTCATTCTCTGTATTTATAGGTCTGATTCTGTTTTTTGTTTATTTATTCATTGAGTATTTACCCAGAGAAAACGAGAACACTAACTCGAAGAGATATATCCACCACCTTGTTTGAATTTCTGATAGATGTTCTCATCCGTATCTTCTTTGTTTGATAGAACTCTTGAAATTAGCGATATTTTTCCTTTTTATGACACATGGGTGGCAATATTTTCCCTAACTTGTTGTTTGCCTTTTAATTTCAGTTGGTGTTTTCCTAGATGTAGCTCCCTTGAATGGTTGACGTGGGTTTTTGCTTAGGGTATATTTTTTTTTTTCTGTCCAGCTGCACTGAGTTAGAAATGGAACACTTTAAGGACGAATTTGTCATCCTTTAAGGGTAAATGTCGGCAAGACCCCTGCAAAGCCTCAAGCCTCTGCTGCATTTCCCCAGCATTGCTTTCACCAAATGTGCCAACTCCTGCAAGAATAAGACAGAGCCAGATTTTAAGTGGTTTTTGACAGTCTTTTAGCAAACGTTTTCTGGGAAGCTCTGACCCAAGCATCTGTGCATCAGTCATACCTCTTTTTGATACCTCTTTTTAATCTCCACAGCCAAGATCAGCCCCTGGCATTTGGCTCTGTCTGGATGATCAAGGCAGTGCTGTCCAATAAAATACAATGCAAACCACAGACACGATTTCCAGTAGCCACACTAAATAGAAGGAAGAAGAAACAGGTGAAATTAATTTTACAAATATAGTTATTGCAACCCAATACATCGAAAATATTATCATTCAACACGTAATGAATATAAAAAATATTGAGATATTTTGCACTCTTTATTTTCATACGAAGTCTTTAAAATCTGGTGTGTATTTTACACTTTCAGCGCATATATAGCACATGTGGCTAGGGGCCGTGGGACTGGACCGTGCAGGCCTAAAAATAGCAGTTTGGCTCTGGGTAAAAGCAAAAGCCTCAACAGATCATAATTAAAACAGAAACTTACATTAGAGACCTCATCCCTACGACCTGCCTAAGGATGAGAACGGCTGGTGTCCACTTTGTGAAATTTATTTCTTTTAACATTTTTTTAAAAAGATTTTTTTTTATTTGTGTGTGTGAGAGAGAGAGAGAGCGAGCAAGCAGGAGCAGCGGGAGGGGTAGAGGGAGAAGCAGACTCCCCTCTGAGCAGGGAGCTCCGTGTGGGGCTCGATCCCGGGACTCCAAAGGCCACCCCGGTGCCCCTCTCTTAACATTTTTGTAGCTCTGAGGATTTCACTTTCTCCACATCTTTACCATTATGGGTGTTTTACTTTAAGGGCCTGCGGTGATGACCCCCACGGCCCACCCAGAATGGAGCCGAAGCTGTTGGAACCCACTGCTCAGGACACCCTGCATGTGTCTATCACCAGACGAGACTGGCTTCTTCAAGAGAAGCAACAGTTGCAGGTAAGCCGGTGAAGAATCTTCAGGAACTAGGCCAGCATTTTTCTTACCCATGGAAGCCGAATGCGGCAGGGCGGGCCTTTGCTCGGTTTGAGTGTAGCAGTTAGAGCTTTGGCCATCCACCCGTGAAGTACAAAAGGGGAGTTGGGTGGAGTGGGCCGGAGGGCTTGTAGGAATCTCATTACACACAGGGGTTGAAAGCTCAGCAGTGTTTGTGCCTGTTTTCGATATTCCTCATTACCTTTTGAATATGCTTTCCTTGTCTGCCAGGCCAATTTGTCACCTCTTATCATTTTGACCTTTACGAGGTTCTTTTGAAAGGCAGGAAGTAATCTGTGCTGCGAAAACCCTTTATGGAAAATTGCATCGAGTTGAAGTGTAAGGAGCAGTTGTTAGGAGCAGGCTTGTAAGTATGGCCTGGGCAAGGCTAGCATGTCTGGGAAAAACTGGTAGACATCGCACAAAGGGAGCTCCAGGTTGGGCCAGAGCAGTAGGTGGAAGTTGGCCGGGAACTGTCTAGAGGCTAGAAGTCTAGGTGCAGCACCGAGTTTAAGGCAGGGAGGCCATCATCAGGTGCTCTGGAAGTTGAGGGCCCCCCAATCTCCCCCTTAGAGGCAGTGAACCTTGAAGCTGGGTCCACACCGGCTGGAGCCTGGAGGCCTTGAGGCAGGAATGGGGAGCAGCAAGGAAGCATCGACTGAAGGCAACGTGATTTCCGGAAAGAGCATAGGTCTTTAACACCCGAGTGCAAATCTTGGTTTAGGTTCTAAACAATGGAATGCATTTAGACTGGTTTATGGGGCTTGGACGAGTTACTGGACTGCCCTCCCATAGTCCCCACAGTAGCAAGGTGGCAAAGGGAGGCAAAAATCATCACAATTTGAAAATATTCTCCAGTAAACTGAACACTTACATACTCAGTGAGTATCATCATAAAAGCTTGTCGTGTGACGTATGGGGTTCGGGAGTGAACGGTCAAGAAAGAATTCTTGAGACATCTTTGGGGCAAAATGGTGGTTTTACTAAAGCACGGGGACAGAACCCGTGGTCAGAAAGAACTGCACTGGGTTTGAGGAGTGACTGATCATATAGTCTTAAGTTGGGAGGGGTTAGGGGTTGTGTAAGTCTCTAAGGAATTTGGAAGCAAGGTTTCCAGGACCTTGAGGGGTTATTTAGTACTGTCTAGTAAACTCTTAGTCATGAGACCCTTCAGATGTATATCGGTGGGCCATATGTTTGGAAGATGATTGCTAACACGTATCTTGGGAGGGGGGAGGTTGGGTAGAGAGATAAAGGAAGTTTCCGAAGGGATTTTTATATGTTAAAGACTTGCAGGATCCTGGAAGTCAGGCTAATGTCAAACTAGGGTTGCCTTTTGCCTCTAGCAAAGTATTCACATTGAGGCAGTTGAGTTCCTGGAGGAAGGTCACCCTGCTTTTCTCAAGTACTTGTCAGTGGGCTGCAAAGGAAATTTGATTATTTTTTTCTACATTTCTTTTGCTTTTGTTCTCCTCATCAGTTTATACCTAAACAATGGGAAATCTGATTTTTGGTTTTGAACAATATTTACCAGTTAAAGGTCTGCATACTTCCTGATGATGTCAGAGTGTACGGAAAATAATTTTAGCCTGGGATACTTAGTGTGTGAGGGGAATGTTCTTGGCAGAACTCTGGGGGAAGGTGGATATTCATTTATTCAGCAGGTATTTGAGTGCCTCCTATGTGCCAGATACTGTTTGAAATGCTTAGGATTTCTGTGAAGTTGATGTTCTAGTAGGGGTGGGCGTGGGTGGCTAGATAAGAAATGTCAAACATAATTAATACCTAAATTATCTCCTTACCATGTTGTAGGGTGGTAGGAGCTGTAAAGCATAGGCTGAGATCAACTCATTGTGCAGTGAGATTGAAGCAGAGGTAACAGCCCCTTCAGGTGAAGGCCTGAAGTGGGGATGTGCCTCACGTATTCAAAGGGCATCCAGCAGGCCAGGGTAGGGGAGAACAGTAGAGGAGAAGGGGTCTTGGAGGGCCTTGCACACCTTAGTAGACACTCGGGCTTGTCTCTGACTGGGAGTGTGGAGCCATTGGAAGGTTTTAAGTAATGAAGTGACATAATCTGACCACGTTTTAAAGAATCACTTTGACTTCTGTGTTAAGAATAGGGTGTAGGGCCATTGTGGAAAAGCATGGTGGGTCTTTATAACATTAAAAATAGAATTACCATGTAATCAAGCAATTCCACTTCTGGGTATATGCCCAAAGGAATTGAAATCAGGGCCTCAGAGAGATGTTACAAGCAGTATTATTCACAATAGCCAAAAGGTGGAAGCGACCCAAGTGTCCACCTCTAGATGAATGGATAAACCAAATGTGGTCCATCCACACAACGGAGTATTATACAAACTTAAGAAGGAAGGAAATTCTGACACATGGTGCAACTTGGATGAACCTTGAGGACATCATGCTGAGTGAAATAAGCCAGTCACAGAGGGGCAAATACGATGATTCCGTATGCATGAAGTTCCTAGAGATTCCTAGAGACCAAAAGTGGAATGGCAGTTGCCAGGGGTTGGGGGAAGGAGGGGTAATGAGGAGCTGGAGTTTAATGGGGACAGAGTTTTGGTTTATAAGATGAAGAGGTCTTGGACGGATGGTGGTGATGGTTGCACAGCAGTGTGGATGTGCTCAATGCCGTGGAACTGGCATTAAAAATGGTTAAGATGGTGACTTTTATGTTACGTGTATTTATCACAGTTAAAAAGAAAGAAAGAAAAGAAGAGGGTATGGGCAGACGTGGAGGTGGGAGGTTCGTTGAGAAACATGCCAATGATACTGTAGTGTGTTGGACCAGTGGGAGACATATTATCTTCTTGGAGTGTCTCAGGGGTGGATCTTCAGCACCTCCTCAGTTTCTACCCCCCAGCCCCCTACTGGAAATGGGGTCAGGAGGCAGAAGTTGTAAGTGATCTGTACCTTGGGTTTGAGAGACCACAGATAAGAGATGGGGAGACACCCAGGATTAGAGCTCTGCTCTTATCAGCCAGAAACCAGTGCCAGGGATGCGGAAGTGTGGTTGGTGAGGGAAAGAGTCTCATTTTAAATTCAGAATGTTACAGGCACTGAGATGAGTATCTGCTCCAACGCTGTCCACACAGTGGGTGTTCAATAACCTTCTGCTTGTTTTATTCTTTGACCTCAAGATTGGATGATAATCTATAGATTCTTTGGGTTTTGGTTTGCTGTATTAGTGGAAATGGAATTTCTTTAATATTTTTATGAACTTTAGACTGCACGGCACTATCTGCAGCATCCCGTGGCGCTTTCAATCTTGTAGACTCAGGAAACTGTGATTTTTTGTCTTCCTGTACACACTACATTTTCATGTTTGGGGACAGACCAACCGAGGATTGTTCGCTTTTCTCTTCCGGCCTGTGACCTGTGTTACCTGCTTAGCTCATACCTCAAGCACATGATGTTTGCTGCTCTATATTCTAGCTCTTCTGCTTGAAATGAAGTAAGTCATTCATATATTTGCTTGGCTCTTCCAAGTCAAATTCCTGGTTCACCCCCCATAGTTACTTAATACTTGGGAGGGAATGTTTTTCCTTATGCCAACTAATCAGAAGTATAAGGCTGGCGTGGTTTTTCCACTTCAGCAAACCTCCAAAAGTCTGCCTGCCTCAGAAGGGAACTTCACGGCTCTCATGCATAAGGCTGACTCCCATTTAAAGGGCTCATTATCAGCAGAGCAGTTTGCTATGAGTAGGGTTAATTTATAAAACCTGGTTTCTCCATTCTCTACAGAAAGAAATCGAAGCTCTCCAAGCAAGAATGTCTGTGCTGGAAGCAAAAGATCAGCAGCTGAGAAGGGAAATAGAAGAGCAAGAGCAACTCCTCCCATGGCAGGGCTGCGACCTGACCGCCCTGGTGGGGGGGCTGTCCCTGGGCGAGCTGCAGGAAGTCAGCAAGGCCTTGCATGACACGCTGGCCTTAGCCAACCAGATTCCGCTCTGTGCAGAACCACCTGAAACCATAAGGAGGTATTGATTTCCTAACTGATTTGGGATCGCTCACCTCTGACTGGTTTATGGGACTGATGTTACCTGCTGTCCACAAATATTTTGCAAGCAGGGCTCTAGATTTTCAACGGAAGTGCTATCGGTATTTTGAGCGGGAAAATTCTTCCTTGTGTGGGGCAGTCCTGACTATTGGGAGATATTTTACATCCCACCAGCCTACCCAATGCCAGGACTCCTCTCCATTCTACTGTGAACCTCCCCCCCCTTTCCAGATACTCCCAGGGGCACCTTCTGTCCCTCTACAATCTGTTGCAGCTCCGTTGGTTAGAGATTCTGATGCCAATGAGGACGATCATCTGGAGAGAGGTGAACTATAACTCTTGCTGGTGGAGGGGGTGAGCCATTAAGAGGGGGGTACTCAGTCAGTGACAGTGTTTCCATCAGGAAGAAAGAATGATTATTAATACTAGCTAGCATTTATTGAGTGCTTACTCTTTGCCAGGCGCTGCGCTAAGCTTTCTGAGTTGCTTCTCTTATTATATTTATTTTATAGATGAGGAAGAGAAAGTTCGTAATTTGCCCAGAGTCCCAGTAAGAGGCAAAATTGATACTTAAACGCCTGTTTGTTACTTCTCAGCCTAGTTTCTTATCTACTTACTATGGAGTGAGAATCTTCCCTGTGCTCTGTATTATGGAATATCCACAAGGTGCACTTCTGTGTCTTGCTCTGCGGGAGATCATGGTCTTACTTTGGTGAAAGACAGAAGTCACATGTACGGAAGCTGAGTAGTGCCCGGATGAACACACAGATAGGTAGTCAGGACTGTGGGAGGGATTCCTGTTCTGCTCAGTTAGGTTATTATGCTGAAGACAATAATCCATAAAACTTATGACCTGTAGTGGTTGCGAATGTGGGCTCTGCCATCCAGTTTTCTGGGGGTGAAGCCTCACTCAGCCACGTAACAGCTGGGACCCACTTATTATTTGGGGGAGGGGATGTGATAATGGGGCTGTTATGTGGATCAACGGTTAACACATATAAAGCTCTCATAACTGTGCGTGGATGGTAGTAAGCACTTCACTCTACTTACTGCTTGTCATTTTTATCATGGGATTCCAGTCTTCTGAAGGCCTTCAAATTGTGCTGATGTGTCTCAGACTATTTAGTGAATAATGTCCTCTCTTAGCCACGTAGCACACCCTGTCCAGCCAAGGAAAGCAAGCCACGGGTGCTGTGCTAGGGAGGTGCTTAGAACTTCCTCCTATCCCCCTCCCAGCCCTAATATTTCCCTTCAGAAATCCAAGCCCATGGCTCATGCCCATGGGAGAAGGACAAGAGATCTGGATTGTTGCCAAATTTCAGCCAGAGGAAACTGGCCGTTGAATATGACTTGTGCTCTCCTGCGGCACCTTATTCCATGTCTCTCTCCCACTCCCGCTTCCTGCGGGAATTACTTCCTGGAAGTAATTCTAGAGCTGTGTGCACACGCACACACGCATATACACATATGGAGGTAGAGGTGCATATGATAGGTGTCGTATACTTTGTCATATGTCATTATACATATGCACATATAACATGCATTGTATTTTTCTGTATGCATTATGTGTAATATATGAGATGAAACATACATGTGAATTTATTACTATATTTACAAATACATATATTTACATCTGAGGCTTAAAGTGATCCCTTTTTCGTCCTACCATCCAGATGTGTCCTACTTATTTTTCCTTCTGCTTTTCACCACATCTCTCATCTCTCACACAAGGTGATGGCTCTTTGCGGGGGGAAAAAGCTAGGGCATGCTTAACTTAGAATCCACGGCAGTGTTTAACAAAGCCTCTGGGTTTTGAGTTGAATTCCTGGGCAGTATCCCTGCAGGTGCCTTGTATTCTCTAGAGATGCCAGGTTGTGGAGTGAGCACTTTCTCACACACCAGCTCGGGGCTGCAGGCGGGCTGGTCTCCTTGTTTGCATTTTACAGATGAGGAAACAAAAACTCAGGAGGTTTTCCTGGTGAAGCAGCTACTAAGAGGACTTCTCATATATATCCGTAGCTGCCTTTGGTCTGAACTAATAAAAGGTCGTTTCTTTCCAGAGATCCCAGGAAGTTGTTTCTCTTAGTCTAAAACAAGGATCTCCACGGTGTGGTAGGCCGATAGAGCAGGGCCCGTGAACTTGGATCCTATCATTTCCAGTCTGTTATTCTGCCTAAATCCTCAGCCTGGGATGTTTATCATGAGCAGAGCACTGCCAGCACTGAGCGGAATTTTGTGTTGCTGGGAGAGTGACCACCCTGGGACCTCTCCTAATCTGGGTGACCCCGCAACAGGTGACCCCTGGCATCTGATTTATTTACTTAGTGAGGCAGGCGGGCACCTCCCTGCCTTAGGGCAGTTTGGGGCATGTAGGTGCAGGTTTCGACAGATCAGCTTCCTTTCTTACACGCTAGGGAGGTGAGGCTTCATGCTGTTCCTGACCATAAATATTAACTGGAAAAATCATTGTTATTTTGTGGGCTTTCCATTTAAGAAGGAAGACACACCTTTTCCAAGCTGACGGGCTGCAGCATGGACTCCCAGAAATAGAGTGCTTGAAAGAAGTCAAATGTGGAGTCCTATGGCTCAATAGATCAGAGATCGCTTGGTCTAGTGGTATTTTTTTTTTTATTTTTAAAGATTTTATTTATTTATTTGAGAGAGAGAATGAGAGAGAGAGAGCATGAGAGGGGGGAGGATCAGAGGGAGAAGCAGACTCCCCACTGAGCAGGGAGCCCGATGTGGGACTCGATCCTGGGACTCCAGGATCATGACCTGAGCCGAAGGCAGTCACTTAACCGACTGAGCCACCCAGGCGCCCTGGTCTAGTGTTTTTAACTAATTGTACACGATCTTGTTAACTTAGTTGTTTCATATGGGATACTGGTTTTCTTTTAGAAGATGTTGACTTGGGGGCATATCTCGTAGGTGCCCCAGCCAGAAGACTGGATCTTAGAGGCACTCAGTAGCTTTGTTGACAAATGTCTTTGTTGTTTATGAGAATAGTTTCTTCTTAGGCCAGATAGAGAGATCCTGACAAACTGTGAAATAGGCAAATCTTGAAGTCTTTTGAAGAGAGGTTGTAGAGACTGGTATTGTTACAAATATGTGGAGAAACAGACCACTCAACATCACAATTATTATTATCATCACCCATAAAGATTCTTCATAGAGGCCAGCTATAAACTCAGGGTGTTGTCTGGGGAGAAGCTGTTTCTGATTTACCCAACTTGGTAATGTGCAAGTTCAAAAGGAAGGATATGCCTCTTTCCCTGGATAAACTATACAGCTTAAAAAGGAACTTCCTAATAGCACTTGGCATTTCTGAGCAAATCACTGGTGGAGACTCTCTGTGCTTACATGGTGCCATCATTTCTGACTATAGCTCATTGGGAATCTATCTGGTGGGTGTTAGAGAGGGGCTGGAGGTAGAAGGTTGTACGCTAGGGATGGGAGAGCCCATGGCTTTTTATTTGGACATTATAATAGAAACCAAAGCAGCAGTTTGAGTTTTCTGATATCTGTGGTTTGGATCAATTATCTTAGCAGGATGGAATGAAGAGCTGCCTGCTCAGAGATCTCATAGCTGCCTCTTGATAGAGCCAACAGAAATAGTTTTCTTCCAGTGACCAAGAGACCATTTTTAAGCCCCTGGGGAATCAGGAACTCCACATTGTGGAAGCTGACAGATCAGGGATGTAGAAAGGACAGGGGCCACTGGAAAGATATGTTCATTTGAATTTCCTTTATCTCTGGGATTCCAACCCTTCAGACTTATAGCGAACTCCTTGTTTCCTCTTGCAAATTTTCCTTTAATGGGAGAGGTCTGGATGGATGGTTTTTTTCCAGTGAGCTTGATTCTCCCTCCACATTAACCCATCCTTCTCATTCCATCCCATACTGACTCCACTCTGATAATCAGTAATGGGATTGGGTGTGAGGGGTGGGGCAAAGGATGGGGCACGGAGAGGAAGGATGTGACAGGTTCTGGGGTTTTCCTTGGGCCACATCCCTGCATGTGGGGTGTGAGTTTCCATCTACTTACTTGGCATAAATTGAGGAGGGTGGTGACTTGCAGCTCATCTCTGTCCGGTGCCGTTAGCTCAGCTCCCCCGGCCTCTGTTGGTCTGTGTGTGTGCCTTGCACACCAGGGAAGAGCCGGGCTGTGACCCCGTCCAGCAGCATGTGGCCAGCTGTGAGGAGAGATAGGAATAATCCCAGTCCTAACAACAGAGATGAGGGCTGTGGACGGGTACTTCCTAACACTCTTTAGATGCCCGTGACTGGCTTTATTAGCCTGTGGTTGGGCTCTTCATTCCTCAGCTCCTGGAATCTTTCATGGTTCATGTGAAATGTGCTCTGGCAGCTCGTGGATGAATTGTTTCTTGTTGTGCATTTGGAAGAAACATGTCACATCGCTTTACAAACCATTGGCACAAACCTTGAAGCTGACCCAAGCCCTGCGTGCAGGGAGGCTGGCTGGACCGTGGTGGGTGCGTGAGGGACCTCGGTCAGGGTGACTGATCAGCATGGGGGCAGCAGGTGGCCCCCCGGCCAGGGCTGCTCCCTCCTCCCTGCTCGTACCGCCCGGGGCTCCCCAGTGAGGGCGATGGACTGTTCAGGAGCCCAGGCATGCCCGTGAGAGGTGTCTTCAGTCCACAGGGAGAAGCCCAGGCCGATATCAGGGCTCCTTTCAAGACAGAGTTGAAATAATGAAATTCAGCAGTTCACAATTGACTGGAGCAAAATCAAGAGTCCCACTTTCCCCCCAGATCCGTATCTTATGAGAGTGAGGAGGCACAGTGAACACAGCAGGGCCCAGATCAGGAAACAGGCCTCCATGTCCGGGAGGAGCACGCGGGATCCTCAGCGGGTGTGTGGAGAGGCAGTTGTGTGTCCCTGTGTGCGGGCTGACTGCACGAGGTGGCCCAAAGTGGGGTGACGCAGACACTTTAGGACACCCCTCCGGTCTCCCAGCCT